AGTTTTCACCCAGATCCTCCCAAGAAATCCACCCGACAACCTGTGCACTGTCTCGACCGCCTTCAATGCCCCAGATCTAGCCACCTAGATCCGGTGGCCAACCGCAACAATAGTGCCACCGTAGGAGCCCTGGCGCACCGGCCACAGCCAGAGTGTGCCACCACTGGAGCCTGGGAGGAGGGCTCCCACCCCGCCTCGCCAAACCACGAGAGCCGTCGAGATCGATCCCGCACGCTCGTCACCGTCTCTAATATGAACCAATCCGTAGCAACAAAACACGAGATCGCCAACGCAGATCCGCCTTGGACAGGGACTGCACAGCCCCATGCCGCCGCGGGAAGTCCGAGCTTCACCAGCCGCCACCTTTCAGGGCTGCCGCCCCGGGATCCAGCCGCCACCAACTGGCCGAGCCGCCGGCCACCGCGACCAAGGCTGCCATGACCGCGAGCCCACCGAGCGGCCGGCGCCACCAGATCTTCCTTGAAGCCTAGCAGCTCTGCCGCCTCTGCCCAGCACCATGCCACCACTTTGCGCTGTCGCCCGAGACGAAAAGCCGCGCCGCCGCGACGCAGATCGGGGAAGAAACGCCCCGGCACCGTGGGTGACCCGCCTCACCCGATCCGGCACGGGAGGGAAGAGGGCCTCCGCCGCCGCCCTCAGCCGCCCGGGGCTTCGCCCGGCAACCTCCTCTAGCGGCGACGGAGGGGAGGAAGAGGATGGACGTGCCCGGCGGCGGGGGTTAGGGTTCCACCCGAGCCGCCCTAGCGGGGGGCGACGCGGGGTCCGAGGGGTCTTAAAAACAGAGAGTATAAATAAATAAGGATATCACTGTAATCTAACATAAGTATATGTTGGCCATCATTTTTTTTACGCAAGTCGATATTTATATTTGAGTTATAACATTACAAAACATTGACATTATGATTTATTTAAAAGTAACTACAATGCCATTAGATTATACTTCTTCATAAGTACATAGTATTGTAAAAAAATCATTAATCTCATAAATAGAGTATTCAATCTCAACAACAAAAATTAATTTAGAAACATGCTCCAATTGAATCCGGAAACCCAAGCCAATTCTGCACACACGACTATAAGGAGCCAAAAAAAACTATATACATAGGTCGGTCACGTAGTAAATAATAGAAAATTATAATCCCTCAGAAAAAACCCAACAAATATATACAAGTAAAGAATTCCATGAGACATATATAAATTGTTGATCAATTGTCTTTACTAGTGTATGTAATCAAGCTTCAGAAATATTAGACCAGACTTGATATATACAAAAATCAATCAGTTGAAATGCGAGTAAACTATGTATTTTCTATTATTTTCAAGTTGTACATACACTATCGATTCACTTAAAAAGCTAAGTTGTTACAAAGAAGTAAATAGCACTTTTGAAACTTCAATATTTTTGTTGTGACACCATTATCTCATTTAAAAATATTCTGCCATTTCTTCCCATTTCTAATACAGCTATCCTTATTTGGATTATCCCTCAAATTTTATTGCCACCTAGGTTGTCATGTGTGTGTTCATCCGCTGTCATGGTTTTGATTCATGACATTTCATCTACCATAAAACTAGATAAAAGACGGTTTGAATTAAAAAATTGCTCAAATTTTACATTCCTCATCAACTCACCATCATTAATCAAGCAATCAAACAGTTGTTCACCATACATTTATCACTTGGTATATGGAAAATCAAACACATTTTCTGAATGCAACAATGGACACATTAAGGAATATTGCTTTGATTGAAAAACTTTGCTTCAATTTTTGTCGGGGTTCGTGCATGGAAAACAAAAAAAAAATGCATCTAAACGAAGCTAAGGAGATGCAATTAAAAAAAAGTTGATCTAATTGAATCTTACCAACGTCTGAAGCGGAAGAACTTGGTGAAGAATCTGATCTCAATGTTCATTACAGTGCTAGGATCACAAGCGTGATCCGTCCGCCCGTATCCACGCATGCGGTCCTTCAATCAGTCCAGAGTTCCGCTGAAGGTTGGGCTTTCGTCCGACATAAATATACAAAATGAAATTCTTTTGAGTAAAAAATATAACTTTTACTATATATGATCATGAAAAAATCTGAAAGTTTTTTCCCACATTCTAGTAAGAATGTTTTGTTGTCCTGTAAAGTTTGAATTTCATATGTTGTTCTATTTGGGAGAAACAGAAAAGACAAAAGTATTTGCACAGATCGCAATGCAGAAATGGATGGCTAGATAAGGGGGTGTAGGGAAGTCTATGTTTCCTCAAATGTTAACCGAAGAAAGATTAGGGAAGAAAGTCCTTACAAGTAGGGTCCACATGTAACTATGAGTAGCCTGTAATCCCGGTCGGCATCGTTGCTTTCCCGGTGTATCAAACATGTCTAAGGTTTAATTTAGACATGTTCCCGGTGTATCAAACATGTTCCAAAATGGGTTTCAGTCTTTTGGTCCCTGATATGCATTCATCCATGTATCTGGCAATTCGGCTGCGGTGCATCGAGCGTTGGCTGCGTCGCGCTGTGTTGTTGTCAATCTCCAGTCATGTGCGCGCCTCCCTCTGGCGTGATCGAGGGCCGCGCCAAATTAAGTAGAGCAGGCACATGCTGTTGGATCAAGTGGAGTTGCAGCAAGCAGCTTTCCCGCTGGAATACTATTTGAACAGCTGACTCAACAAAATAAAAAGGATACTTCAGCAGACAAGCGTATGTTCTGTCCGCGATGTTCTGGAGTTACACCACACCCATTTTTCTCTCCAGTTTTTTTCTTATCGGTCGCATTCTTTTTTCTCTTCTTTCCAACCTATAGCAATGTGTCTGCTACTTTGGTAATGGCCTATTGTAATTTAATTTGGCATAAAAGCTAAAGAAAACAAAAAAAAAACTAGCTATCTTGAAATAAGTTGCAATAATCGTTGTTCAAAAATTATTAGAAGTACAGGATATGCAGCATTTGCCAGATCTTTAAACAAGTTCAAAATCTCCAGAGCTGAGCGTTTCCCTGATGGGCTGGGCTTTGCTCATTCTCGTGCCCAGCTATATGGGCCACTAACCCTTCTTCCAGGCTCTGCCTGTGGAGGCGCTGCTGCATGTGCCTGCTCTACTCAATTAGTCCCACCTCGCTAGTTTAGGCGGCACTAAACCAGTTTATAAGGCGAGCCGCTGCTGCTTGTAGCACGACCTTACTTGAACAGGATCTGTTCTATAGGCTCGTACCGCTGCATCCTTTACCAATAAGGAGGCAAGCACTTCAGTCTGGTTGATGCATTCTGACCTCTGGGCCAGAGCGTGATTAACGGCCTGGATGAATCCTGATGGGATCAATCCAATGGTTGTAGAGGATCGTTCCTGCCTGGTTCACTTGTGCAGGGCGGCCTAGAGGTTGTCTGACAGACTCCACAATTTTTTTTGCTTTTTTTGGTTGTACAACATCTGGCGATAAGCTGGCCTAGAGGTTGTACAACATCTTACTCTGTTTTAGTTGTTGATCAAGTACCCAATCCAGCTTCAAGTTCAGGGTGAAATGCATGTATTAATCATCTGAATTAGCTGCAGTCATCCTTTGAAGATGTGGTTATGTCATCCTTTGAAGATGTGGTCATCTGAATTAGCTTCAAGAAGATGTCCAGCAGTGATGATGTTCAGAAAAAGGAGAACTTCGCAAACTGACAACTAAAACAGAGTAAGATGGCAGAAAGAAGTTGTTCCTTCGCAACATGGCGCTTGTATCAGTCTTTCTCTCAATTAGTAAAGTTTGACTGGACTCGGCACCTTTGATTTTCAGAAAGAACTCTCTGCACATTGGCTTGGAGAAAACAGTAGGTGGTTTGCCTACTGCAAGTATGCTCAGTAAGGAAAATGCTTACTGATTTGGCTGTGGAATTCAGAACAAGACTTTCTTTTGCTTGTGGGAGAATGAGTTCAGCTTTTCTTTCAACACTTTCATGCATCTGTACCAGAAGCTCCAGGAGGCAAGAGTAAGTGTTGCTCTCTCAAAAAAGGCCAGGGCCTAATTAGGACTGCTGCGCTTCAAATATGTAGAGACTGATTTCTTCAAGACTCGTTTTGATACATGTTTCAGCACACAAAAATTATTTTCCAAACTGTCTGAAAAGAAGTCCTTCCTTGCTTCTTATGCCTGCTACTTTGGTAATGGCCGACTGCAATTTCATTCGGCATAAAAGCTAAAGAAACCAAAAAACTATGTGTCATGAAAAAAGTTGCAATGAGCACTGTACAAAATTATGTACAGGTATTAAAAGCAGTTCAAAATCCCCACAGCTGAACGTTTCTCTGATGGGCCGGGTTTCGCTAAGATCTGGTTGTACAACATCTGGCCATCAGATTCAGTTGTTGTTCCACATGTACTCCCTCCGTTCCAAAATAGATGACTCAACTTTCTACTAACTTTAGTATAAAATTGAGTCATCTATTTTGGAACGGAGGGAGTACAAGCTAATCCAGAATAAGATTCAGTTGGCGTCAAGTACCCAATGCAGCTTCAAGTTCAAGGTGAGATCCATGGATTAACCATCTGCATTAGCTAACTTTCAGGCATCTATGAAGGCTGGGGTGCAGTAATCCTTTGAAGATGTAGTTACTCAATGTCCTGGTAATCAAGATGCTCCGGAGTTCAGCTTGTCTTTCAATACTTCTCTGCATCTGTAAAACAGTAAAAGGCTGGACACTCCTTCCTCTCCAAAAGACAAGAGTGAGTGTTGCTCTCCAGACAAACAGGGCTTGTTGACTGCTTGCTTTAAGGCTTTGAAATAATCTCAACAAAATCATATCCAAGATTAATGCCCGGGCATAACTAGAAGAGTACGATTTCGTAGCTTGCATCTCCTGCCATTCTTTGGTTTTGTACCACTATTGCTTGGGATTCTGAGTTCCTAGACATTGATCTTGTTCACAAGGTTGGTTCCACATGTTCAATTACTCAAATCGAAAACCCAAGGATTCCACATTTTATAGATTAATTATGTACTTATTCAGTTAACTAGCCAGAGGATTGACCACATGACCAAGGAACAATACGGCGCCGGTCTTCTCCTCAACCACGGCAAATAAGAAGGGCCGATCCGCCACAAAATCCACCAAATGTGGTGGTTCCCTTTTCTCAAACGCACTACCATCCATGAGTATGACCGTGGCAGCAGCGGCCACGGTGCCTTGCTCGTCCACCTCGATGGCGGCCTTATGGTACACCCGGGAGATGGAGAGCCGCTCATGCCCATGCCCATCTTTGCTGCCCACCATGCCTGAGAAGTCGCCGCCTTTGAAAGCCCTGGTGACACCAAGCTTTTGCATGTCGGACGACGCCTCAAACTCGAAGGTGAACTTGAACTTGGGCACCATGAACCGCCCCACTGGAACCTCCTTCACCGGCGTGTGCTTCCTGATCAACTCTGGCGTCGACACCGTCTTGTCATAGAGATCGGCGAGACTGAGAGTGCCGCTGTCCGGGAGAAGGATAAGCATGTAGAATGCATCAGTTTGCCGCAGCACGTCGTTCTTGTAGGGCAGCTTGAGGGCCCTGAAGCCCGGGTAGAGCGCGATGTACTGTGACCGGCCTGTCGTCATGGCCGGCACGCCCACAGGGGTGCCGCCTGGGATGTGGAACGGCGCCGTGAAGACGTCGAACGGGTGAGACCACGCTCCTTTGAAGTAGAGCGCGTTGGCGAGCACGACCGCCTTGGACGAGTCGACGGAGCCGGGAGGGAGGATGTCGCGGATGAGCTGCTTCGTCGCGTCCGCCACGAAGGCGTTCACGCGCAGCCTCACCTGTTCGGCCCCCGACACGAAGTCCACGGCTTCCGCCGTGGCGCCGTACCGCGACGCGCTGGTGGCCATGAACTCTCGCCTGAGCGCCAGCCTCCGGTAACCCAGACACCGCAGGCGAAGGACGTCTGCGGCAGGCCGTTGAGCCTGCCGACGAGCTCGTTCGCCGGCGCGTGGTGCAGCTCGTGGAGCGACGCTGAACCGAGGAATCGCAGGAGCTCCCTACGCGTGTCGCCCCGCGCGCCGGCGGTCACCATGGCGAGCGCCGCGTGGATGGACAGCGGCGAGAAGACGAAGTTGCTACCCGTGCCGGCCGCCGCCCGGACGCCGACCTCCCTGGCGAGAGGCAGGCACGACGCATGGCGGACAAGCGGTGCCTCCTCCGCAGAGTGGCCACCAGGACGAGGAGGCGCGTCGGCGAACAGGGTCGAGCAGAGGCGCCATGCGGCGAAGAGGGCCAAGCAGAGTACGACGGCCTTCCCGAAGGACGAAATCGGAATGGGTTTGCCGTGGGTTCGCGCCATCGCGGCAAGGTTTTGTATTGGTGTCCATCGATCGATCAGATGTTAAAGACGACGGGGGAGGAGAGGACGACGGGAGGCGGCGGCCGGCGGCGAGTGATCCCTCCCTGCGAGCTGCGTGTCCGTGTGGGTTAGGGTTAGCGGGACAATGGACTAATGGGCTATTGGGCTATACTGGACATCAGGGATTTTTAACGAGATGGCCCGCGGAAATGCATGCAACATTCTAATGTTGTACTCCTACTATGTTTTTGTAATACCAATAGCACTTAATGTTGGATGTTGTTCTATCACCCACATGATCTTAAGCTATGAATTAAGAATTTTAAATTATATTTAAGTGTGAATGTATTTTATCTTATTTGATTTATGAAATTCACAGTTAGTCTTCGATTATTTGTTAATGTTTAGGGTTTGCTCTAAATGTAAATTGGAACAAACCTCTTTAATCTATTCCCTCCGTTCTAAATTACTCGTCGCAATAATGGATGTATCTAGAACTAAAATACATCTAGATACATTCATATCTGCGATAAGTAATTCGGAACGGAGAGAGTAGTCATTATTGAATCGGCAACTTGAGATCTTAAGATTTTTTATTCCATTAGTTTCGAAAGGGAACCAAAAATACTATTTTGCATCATGTATAGGGTAAAGAAACATTCGAGTCACTTCGATTGCGCTAAGAAGTGATCACCCAGAAAACATATTGTTCAATTTTACTTGAAATTTCATCAAGCTTGAACATTGACTTGTGTTTTTCCTGAAATTTTGTCGATATCAAGAAGACTACTTGGTTTTTTCATCAAAGAGCAGTTGCGCTTTAGAATTTGAGCAGGTTGTGAGCACGGTAAAGCTCTAATTTTGTGTGCATGCTTTGGAAAAGCACTATACGAGGAATTTCTAGCGAAAGTTGTTAGATGAAAATGGCATACTCCTTCTGATCCATATTAATTGACGCACAGTTAGTATAAATTCATACTAATAGAAATATGAGGAAATAAGGAGACGTACAAAACTACAAATGAATACATAGCAATGGGTGAGCGAATTTCCAACAAGTTGGACGGGTGACACAATGAGGCATGCATGGTATATCCACGTGCATGATAGAATCATACTTCTCATGGATGTTTTACAAGTCATCCTCTCTATACGTTGCTCCTAGCTGATCCTATCTCCCTTCTTCTGCGCACCCGCATGTCTTTTGCCAACGGGGGTAACTACATTGGTCATTCTGCGTGACTAGATGCCACCTGATGTATTGTAGAGAGCATTTGCATCGCCGGCTCTACGAATAACTTCCGCGTCCATTCCAGGAAAATCCAATCCAACTCATGCTTGGGCGAGACAGTAACCTCAAAACGGTCTGAGAAGGCAACATCGCCGAAGATACTCGCTGGTGATATGAGCGTCGGCTGGTAATCATATAGATTTGTCGGAACACCCCCGATATGTTTTAAATGCTCTGGCATGTCGTCTTTGTTCTTCAATGAGACAGCCTCCAGCCCGCGGTGGCCGCCGCAATCGCCTTCTTCCTTTTCCTCATCAATGGCCTCATGGAGGTTGTACAAGTAGGCGCCGGTAATTTTGAAGTTAGCAAACAGAAGGCCACCTCCACAGTCCCAGGCCCCCAACAAATAATCGTGTGACCGAGAGCTTTGCTTGACCAGAGTGAATACCTTCTCCCATTGGTGATCGGGAGTGAGTAACCAGAGCACCATGTCTTGGCCGGTGCACATGTAGATGCACGGACGCCCACCTATCTGTAACATGTTGCAGGGTTGAATTGGTTGCCCTTCCGGGACAGCAACGCTTGTGACGACCTCGTCGTCGGCATCGAAAACAAGCATGGATGTCGCATCGGTCTCATACTCTTCACATCCCTCCTCGCCGGTGAAGTACGTTGTGTATATAAGAAAGTACACTTTGTTGTCCGCCGTGTGTAGGCTGTGCTCACTGAGAATCTCCTTGTCGCATGAGAACACCGTCCTCGGCGCTTGCTGGCAGCCGACACTGTCGAATGACACCACCATGAGCGTTGTGGTCGTGCTATCGCCGTCAGCTGTGAACTCCGAGATAAGAGCCTTGTAGACCTTGCTCGATGCCGCGTACCCAAACCCCAAGAAGCGGCGTAGCACATCGCCGTCTTCGTCCTCGGGAGCCTGCGGCGGTGGCAACGGCACGGACAGGCGCACCTCCTCCTTGGTGGCCGGGTTGAAAACGACGCCGTCGAGGGATGACCGGGCAGTAATCACATTTGTCGTAGAGGCAAGCGGCATGAGGAAGTTCCAGGCCTGGTGCGCCAAGACGGAGGTGGCGCAGCCAGAAGTGCGGGCTTCTGAGTAGTTGCCAGAAGCGCTTGGAGAGGCCGATGCAGCGCACGGCGCAGCGGGCCGGCAGACGGGCGAGGATCTCATCAGCCACGAACTCGTCTCCGAAGACGGCCTCGTTGTCAGCCGTAGACGCCATGATTCTTGTGTGACCAATGTACCAACACCGACGGCCAACTCTTGGTTCTCTTTGTGCCGGCCGAGTGATGATTCCTAACAAAATCGACTTGCTCGGTTGTCTTTGCGCTGCCGAAATATAAAAGGAGAATACCTACATCGGTGTGCTAGCAAATTACTATAATCCGTGTACACCTCGGTTTTTCTTGGCGCCAGGACTCTTGATCCAAATCGGAGTTGGTACCGCCGGTCCGCTGGTACAGCGCTAGATTTTTTTTCCCTCAAAAGACTAGATCTTCTCTTTTTGAAGGGCCACTGCTACAAATCAACCGACTGATTTTGATGAAAAATCAGTCGGGTTGACAGCCGTTTGATTGCCCCGCTGACGAACGTCGGATCAGGCCCCTCCCAGCGTCTCTGTCCCCCACGTTTCTCAGCAGTGTTGGCGCCGCCTCCTCGCCGCAACGCCTTTCTTCTACCTCTTGCCTCACTCAAAGAGAAACTCCACACACACACGTACACATGCACCAAGGAAGAACACACAAGCTTTGCCAAGAGGCTTCCTTGTGATCACACGATGGCTACATTGTTTTCCAGCCCTCTCGACCTTTTTCTCATTGCTTGATATGCAACATATATACAAGGGGATGGCCTCATGCATGTGCTAACTAGCCGGCAAGTTCGGCCACTAACTCCACGTGCCGCACACCCAAGTAACTACCCTGGAATCCCTCCCAGCTAACAACTTATCCATGCAGCCACTAACTAACCCGTGCATGCATTTGACTCGACTAAACACAATATTGTTGTAGTTTGCACGCACACTCGCCACGACCCGGCCACCACACGGCCACATGCATGGCTTATTGCCATCACTCACCCCCTAAGCCATGACATCGTCATCGTCGGAGTTGTTGCAGCTTCCGTCGTTGATGTCGCCACGACCGTGACCCAGCCCACGGACCCGACGTGACGCAACGACGCCGGTCGCACCGTGCTCCGTCACGACTCCGGCGACACACGCCGAGCACCTTCTCCATTGCGACACACGCCTGGCGTCCCTCGGCGCAACGCACGTCCCGCGCACACCCGACGTGCTCTCGGTATGGAACGGTGGGCGCCAACTGTCGTGGTTCTAAGTCTGACAGTAATGTAGGGGGGTAGGTATAGAGAGGCAAGATCTTAGCTATGGAGAAGTTGTAAGCACAGGAGGTTTACGAGTTCAGGCCCTTCACGGAGGAAGTAATAGCCCTACGTCTCGGAGCCTGGAGGCGGTCGACTGGATTATGCGTGTATGGTTTACAGGGGTGCGAACCCTTTACACTGAGGAGGTAGGTGGCTTATATAGAGTTCGCCGGACCCCTCCGGCCCTCAGTTGTGCAGGGTTTAAATACATTAAGGTCGGGCGTTACTGGTAACGCTCCTAATAAAGTGCTATGATGACCATAAAAGCTACTTAATAACCGACCGTTAGCATGCGGAGTGCCTTTAGGTCTCCTAGCCGTCGAGTGGTTTGGTCTTGGTCGAGTGATTGCTTCTTGGTCGAGTGTCTTCGAGTCTGTCGAGTGGAACACCTCCAAGTCGATTGAAAGGTGATTTCTTCTAGAGATGTCCTTGGGTAGGGCAGTTGGGACAGGTCCATGACCCTACCCTAGGTACATAGCTTCATCATTAGCCCCCAAATGGATCGAGGTTTGAGTGGGGAAGGAGTTGAGAATTTCCCCGACTCATTTTTCATGCCATGAGCATATCTGGTTTCGGATCAATGAACCTGAGTGATGACAGCAACTTCCTTTTCAGTCGCCTTGATCCATTCTTAGTTTTTTGTCGAATGAGTTTCTTTACTTGAAAGGCTCCGACTGATGGTGTGGAGGAGATCTTCGGTCTGACAAGTTGTTCTGCTGCCCGCAGATTTCGCGGGATCCGAGTTTTGGGAAGCGCACGGGACGGGGAAGGCCGCAGTAATCGGATGGGATAGGGCGGAGCCGCCTCGATCCCCGCACCACCTTTTTCGCCACGTATCGCGCGCGCGATTGTTACGGGATTTGACAGGACCGCCCGGGCCTACCAGTCAGCCACTCGGAAGCGGCCTCATATATGG